CATTTTTTTTAGAATGATTTTAGATTTTCAGAAAAATGCAGAAAGATGGTGCAGAGAGTTTCCATATGCCTTGCACCCAGTTTCCTCTATTACTAACATCTTACATTAGTATGGTACACACCATAATTAAGAAACCAATACTACCTTGTCAGTGTGGCTCAGGGGTTGAGCCTCAACCCAGGAACCAAGAAGTCTCCAGTTCGATTCCCTGTCATGGCACATTCCATGGTTGCAGGCTTGATCCCCCAGTGTGGGGTGTGCAGGAGGTAGCCAATCAATGATTCTCCCTCATCACTGATGTTTCTATCTCTCTCTCCCTCTTCCTTCCTCTCTGAAATCAATAAAAATACATTATTTTTTTAAAAAAAGAAGCCAATACTGATATGTTATTATTAACTAAAGTCCTGAGTTTATTCAGATTTCCTTAGCCTTTACCTAATGTATTTTTCTGTCCCAAAATTCCATTCAGGATACCACATTATTGTTGTTTTAGAGATAGAGAGGAAGAGAGAGAGAGAGAAACATGGATTTGTTGTTCCACTTATTTATGCATTTATTGGTTGATTCTAGTATGTGCCCTGACTGGGCATCAAACCTGTAACTAACTGAGCTACGTGGCTAGGATGAATGTCTTTGTTTTTGATGACCCTGACACTTTTGATATTAACTTCTTCCTCTGTGGAGGTATAATTGACCTATAACATTATGTTGTTTTAGGTGTAGATATTAACTTTTAAGATACCATATAGTCCCAAGAAATAAGGAATAGCGTGGGCAGAGTCTCCGGACCCCCACACTTGCTGACAATTCTGCCTGGAGCAGCGGTTGCCACTGGTGGTCCGTGAGGCCCGAAAGGTTGGCGACCACTGGTTTAAGGAAACCTTTGGAGCAGCGGTTGCCCACCGGTGGTCCGCAGATCACTGGTGGTCTGTGAGGTCCGAAAGGATGGTGACCGCTGGCCTAGAATTTACTGGTTAATTCAGCACTTAATTGAAATATAATTCTAGGAGAAACCCTTCTTTTTTCAGAGTAGATGAAAAGCTACATTTTGTATGTTTATAAATAGGAAGGTCTTAATTCCTCCCCCCCCCCCCCCAAGTGTTGAGAAACCTGCATTAGGAACTTTGTCTCATGTCCAAAGAAATGCAAGGACAGATTGATCAGACCACCTGTCCTCGACCCCGCCCCTCAAGTGGATTGGCTTGTTTTAGTTGCTTGGTCGGGCTGTTTGCTAACAGCTGTTTGCTGCATATTTTTAAGTCTCTCTGTTCTTTCAGAACACAAGCCTGATTTATCTGGCCTCTCAGTAACACTGTGAGTACTGAGTTCTTGCTGTTGCCGTCTGCTCAATAGTTTTCATTTTGGAAAAACTCGATAAAACCAAGAATTACCATTTTAAGATTGTAATTATCCCTTGCTTCTGCATTTCATCTTCCTGAAGTGTCTACAGTGAGTAAACATTTCCTTTTGGAAGTTTAGCAATATGAGGGAAGCATCGCTAGAGCATGACGTGCTCATGCGGATGAGCAGAAGCCCTCCCTTGTCATTCCTTTCCCCACATGCTCCAAACAGAGGCTGTATAAAGTACAACCAAAAAGTGGCTTTTTCAACAAATATACTAGCATGGCTATAAACTAATGAGTGGTTCCCTTAAAGTGATCAACTTGAGCTGTACATTTATTTCAATACTTATTAACAAACTGCCTTTGCTAATGTGCTCGGAAAGTTAGTTTTGGATCACTGTTTTATCTTGTGGCACATTGTTTGGACTATTCTGTAATGGCAAATTTTCCTCTTTTGGAGGTAAATTCGACTTTCAGAAACACTCACACCTCACCCAGAGCAAAGTAAGGAAGGAATAGATGTCAGGGTGAAATGACATCACCTCTTTTTTAGACACATCTCAGATGTGAAGTAATGGGACTGATTTTCTTGTGTAACTACATTCTGGCCCTTAAGGCTTCCCAAAAGAAGCATTCCAAAAAACATTTGAAAAGTGAAATCTTAGATTGACAGCCTAGCTTCCCAAGGTGGAGAGATGACTGAGTCCTCTGAAGGAGATTCCATGCTCCTGTTAGCCTGTTGAAATAATTTCATGTTTGATATCAACCTTCAGTGCATCCGATCTTGGATAGATGGGTCGGTGGGTGGATGGATGAATGAATGGATGGATGCCTAGGCCTCATCCCATTCTTAACTAAATCACGATCTTTAAAACGGGTGCAGGTGGGTATATTTTTGGAGATTTCTATCAGAGCTCTTCTGAGAGACTGAAAGTTGAGGACCATTGCTTTAACTTATATTCATATAATCCTTTAGGTATAGACTTGGCCTTTTTTTGTACATACTATGCTTTCAAGTAGGAGAACGTACTTGCCTCTGAAAAGAGGCAGTTGTATTCATCGCACAGAAACAGAAAGATGTTATTTCCTTCAATCCAAAAGAATCTTTTTCTATTGAGCTGCTACTTCCAGTCATTTATACTTTTTCCTGCATACCATTTCTCACACTCCACTTATTTCAGGTACCAGCCCTTCCCACTGGGATAAAAACTCCATGTCTGTTTTGTTCATCACTGTGTCCCCAGCTCAGCCCTTCCCACTGGGATAAAAACTCCACGTAGGCAAGGACCATGTCTGTTTTGTTCATCACTGTGTCCCCAGCACAGTGGCTGGCTCATAGTAGGCACTAAAGAATGGATTAGCAAAAAAATATGCAAGGCTACTAGGCCATGATTTAGAGCAGGCCTGAACCTGACCTTGCCTTAATGATTTTGAAATACAGTGCTGTATATATAGCAACAAATATTTATCGAGTGGTGATTTAGAGCACTAAACAGTCAAATGACTAGACACAAATCCTAGCTCTTGTCATTTACTAGTATTGATCTTAAGCTCATTACTTAACCTCTCCTGTTGCCTCATTTGTAAGAAAAGATAGTTCATCTGAAGGATCTCTGGAGTTCTTTCCGTCTCTGAAAATTCTGTCTGGTGTTGTGCCAGGCGTAAAAGATGCTTTCAACAGAAGCCTTCTTAAATAGTCATTTTAAGTTGTTGAAATGTATAGTTCAGCTAATTAGGCAACTTGCTAAATTTCAAGTGAATTCCTAAGTCTAGAACCCCATGCCCAAGGATAAAAATAAACATAATAACTTCAAGTATTTTCCATAGGAATGGCATTCTCTTTATGAAACCAACTCCTTTTCTTCTCTTGACGAAGGGAATATTTTCGTAGCTGTGAAATGGGCAGCTTTTCCCAAGTGGTAGTGTTTTGTTGTGCTAAAAAAGAAAAGTTAGGAGAGGCCCTGGCCAGGTAGCTCGCTTGGTTAGAGCATGATCCCAATATACCAAAGTTGTGGGTTCCATCCCTAGTCTGGAGGGCACATACAAGACTCAACCAATGAATGCACGAGTAAATGGAACAAGGAGTCAGTCCATGTTTCTCTCTCCCTTCCTCTCTCTCTCTCTCTCTCTCTCTCTCTCTCTTCCTCTCTCTCAAATCAATACACAAACAAAAAAAGTTAGGAGAGTGTGCAAAGAGAAAAATGAAAGGCTGTAGAATTTTTAACAGGTTTTAAATCTTCACTTTTCACCCAGCACTTAGAACAAGAGAAACACGAACTAAGAAGACGATTTGAGAACCGAGAAGGAGAATGGGAAGGGCGTGTGTCCGAGCTGGAGAGTGACGTGAAACAGCTTCAGGATGAGCTGGAGAGGCAGCAGGTTCACCTACGGGAGGCAGACCGGGAAAAAACACGGGCCGTCCAGGAATTATCGGAACAGAACCAAAGGTTATTGGATCAGCTCAGCAGGGTGAGTCCCAAGTTAAGAATTGATGGTGTAACATTCTTCACTGAATTTGAAAGCTGAAGTAGCGCGTCTGTATCGTGTCAATCATGTATATAGTGAGAGTAATTCTCGCTTCTGTTGCATTTGGTGTTACATCAGGTTGAATATTTTCCACCTGTAAGGACTTAGCTGTGCCAAACTACGAATCAGGAGCCAGGACCTTTCCCGGCAGGGCCAGCTATTGCGGCCTTCACAATCACTTCACTTGGGGGTGTTCTCATTTTTAAAATGAAAGAGTTGTGTTTAATGATTTCTGACATTCCTTGTAGCTCCAAAAGTCTATGATTCCTTTAACTAGAGAAAGCCTGTCACTGGTAAAATTATGTTAATGCGTTTAGTTCAATTATCAGATGCCCCCGTCTTTGAACTGAAAAGCTTAGGGAAAATTTCTAGGGCAGATGATTTTTATTGATGTTGTCTTTGTGAATGTAGATTCCTTCGTATTATTTAAATATGAAAGGAGGTACGTGTGTCTGTATTTAAAATTTGTTCTCTTGATTTCCACACTAAGTAAAAATTCTTTAAAAAAAATTCTTGTAACATTTATAGGGTGGTGTCATGAAAGTACTAATTAACCAAGGTCAAACCTGTAAAATCATTGCCAAGAAAGGGTTTGAGGGTTGAATAGGTGGAAACCTAATTTAAATATAGAACATACCTTTTTAACAAATGCAGGAATGTTGTTAATGCCCTGGTCTCTAAATCCACCCACTTTTGAATTAAGAGCTGCATTTACTATTGTGCCTAAGTCCTTCTTGTGTGTTGAAAAGAAAGCTGCTAACTCTTTAGTTACCAAAGGAAAAAAAGAACTTCTCTGATCTCATCCCTAAGCATTAATATTCTTTTAAAAGAATTTTTAAAATTGATTTGAGAGAGGAAGGAGGGGGAGAGAGAGAGAAAAACATCAATGATGAGACAGACTCATTGATTGGCTCCCTCCTGCACGCCCCCTACTGGGGATCGAGCCTGCAACCTGGGCATGTGCCCTTGACCAGAATTCAATCCAAGAACCTTCAATCCGCAGGCCAACGTTCTATCCACTGAGCCAAACCGGCTAGGGCAGCACTAATATTTTCATGAGAGCATGCCTTTGTCTGCATGGTTCGTCTTTGGTTCTTAGATCTTTGGAAAAGGCTTGGCTAGAACAGCATATGGTAAATTCTTGATGTTTCCACTAATTCGATGGTTAACACTTGTATGAGGTTATTTCACTAGTCAGTTGCTCCCAGTGGATACTCTGAGACTATTAAAGCCTTCATTTCTCACAAGGAAGTGTGAAGTAACTGCTACTAATAGAGAAAGGAAGAGGAAGGGGAAGTAGAGAAGGAAAGAATGGAAGGGGGAGGGAGAGTAAGAGTAGGGGAGGGAGAAGGAAGAAAGAAGGACTGGAGAGAAAGAAAGAGGAAGAGATGCATTCACAGCAGAATGTATCTGAAAGGCGGCCCTGGCTTGGGTGGCTCAGTGGGTTGGAGTGTCCTCTCAGTGCACCAGGGTTCTGGGTTCCATCCCCAGTCAGGGCATGTGTAGGAATCAACCAATGAATGCATAAATGGGTGGAGCAACAAATTTTAAAAAACCAGAATGTTATGAAAGGTGAGAATTCAAGCGCTAGATCTAAAGGTCTTAGCTGCAGGTGTCCTGTCCAGGGAATCCAGTCACCATTGGATTGGCTGGAAAGGAAGAGTTGGACAGGCCTTCAGGAGGTCATTTCCAGGGCCAGCTCAGGAACAGCGTTTCTGACTCAGTTCTAAAACCATTTTCAGCAACTGGGGAGGGAATCTCCAGCCTTGTGAGCTGGTAGACAGGTTTTTGAGTCTTCATTATTCATGAAAGATTAAACTAACCATATCGGCCTAGCCACATCGATTTGTTTGTTCAGGAACATTTATTTCATACTGATTCTGAGCAAGTATTTCTTATGGAGACTTAAGAAAGGAACACAACCAGCCAGAACAATGAGAGGGGAAATTATTTCTTGAGGCTAAATTCACATTCTGAAAGAACTCTTGGTGGCCAAGAGAGACGATGGGAGAAAGCAAACATTAGTATGACATAGGAAAGAGCCCAGAGCTGGGAATATAGATGCTTTTCATTAGCAGGCGACCTTCTTTGTGCCTCACTTTCCTAGTCCTTAAAATGGGGGTAAAATTGGTGCTGCATCAAGTACTGCTGACGTGAAAATAAGATAAGGTGATTATGTTAAGTCATATAAGAAGGTAAGGATTGGTGCCAGTGTGGATGGTTCTTTTATTAAAGCAGTGTCTTTATAGTTGAGGTTCCTTTGCCTAATTTCTCTGTAGAAATTCCCGATAAGCAGCTCCCAAAAGATCATAGGAGGATAACATTTCCACTCGATCTAGATTCTTCGTATCCTCTCTGGCCTTGAATGAAGGCCCTTGGTGAGTTCAGTGGCCTTTTTTTCCCTTTCTCTTTTTAAGCAGGACAATTCCCTGGGGTTTCTTTCCGTCAGCAGCCAGTTTAGAGTGCATTACATTTTCATTTTATTAACTGGGTATTCAGGAACTGGAGGACTCGAGTGGTACTTTGAAGTGAATTCAGATTCTCCTAGGACAAGAAAACAGCCAGCAGAAGTAATAGAAGGCCATACTTTTCTTGCAGGGTACATAATGTGCTTTTATAAGCATGAAATGTATAATATTGAGAATGCAGTACAGTATTTCTGTGGTGCTTTTGTTCAAAGGATTTTTAAATATATTTCCTTTGCTGCCATGTCTTCCAAGGCATTTGCTTGTTTGTTTTTTAAATATATTTTTTATTGATTTCAGAGAGGAAGGGAGAGAGGGAGAGAGAGATAGAAACATCAGTGATGAGAGAGAATCATTGATCAGCTGCCTCCTGCACACCCCACACTGGGGATCAACCCCACAATCTGGGCATGTGCCCTGACCAGGAATTGAACTGTGACCTCCTCCCCCCCGAAGCGAAGCTCAACTACTGAGCCATGCTGGCTGGGCTGTTTTGTTTTTTAATAATAGTTCTATTAAGATATAATTCACAAACCATAACATTTACTTTTCTAAAGCGTACAGGTTAGTGGGTTTTAGTATTTTTACAGAGTTGTGCTACCATCTCCACTATCTAATTACAGGATATTTTACCTCCCCCCCGAAAAAAACAAACAAACAAAAAACCAAAAAACCTGTACCTATTAGCCACTCCCCGATTCCTCCTAACCCTCTACCCCATTCCCTGACAACCACTAATCTCTGTCTCTGTGGATTTGCCTATTCTTCACATTTCATGTAAATGGAATCATACATACTAGTATGTGACCCTTCGCGACTGGCTTCTTTCCGTTAGCACAATGTTTCCAGGGTTCATCCACATTGTAGCAGGTATTAGTACTTTATTTTTATAGATGAAGAGAGTTCCGCCGCGTGGATTTAACACATTTTGTTTAGCCACTCATTATTTGATGAACATTTGGGCTGTTTCCACTTTTCGGCTACTATAAACATTCATATACAGGTGTTTTCTTTTCAGCTCTAAAATAGGATGCTGTAAGCGCGTGTATCCCATGAGCTTCTGGGTCCTCATTACGATGAAGGAAGGGATAGGTATTGTTCTGATTTCATAGCGGGGAACGCCTTAGGGATAGAAAGAAAGATACGTGACTTGATTAAGGACCTCCCTGTTTAAGCTCATTGGGCCTCAGTTTCTGATTTCTGAGGCAGCAATTAAGATCATAGGCAATGGAGCCAGACACCCCTGGGACCAAACACAGACTCTGCTATTTACTAGCTGGATGAACACGGAAAAGTTTTTTTCACCTTAGTTTCCTCCTCCATGTAGTAGAACAGTTATATTATTTCTAGTGCATGACAGTGATGGGAGGACTAAGTGAGAGAATGTATATTACAGCTCCAGTCACAATATCTAGCATATCTCAAGTGCTCAGTAAGTATGGTAGCTGTCATCATAATCATCATGCCCTCGTCATGTCAGTGGGACTTCTGCATTTGAGGAAACATGGATTCTCTCACTTGAGAGTGTCCCCAGCACATGCCAGTGTGTGAAAATGTTTTGTTTAGTAGGTCAGTCCCTATGCAAAAATATTTGTGTGAAATTGAGTCGGGTTTACTCTATGGCACCCCGTATTCCCTGGACACTGCTGCATATGCCCTGGGGACGCCTTTATCTCCTGTTTATTTGCTTATTTGGACAAAATGCCCTCTAAATTCTTTTCTAGCTTCTAAGATCATGAGTCTTGTTTTGTGAAACTCAGGCTGATGTATTTGGAGGAAGTGGAATTCGCTTCCTAAGTTGGAAAGTAATGCCACGATGGCATTGACAGTGGAGTCTCATAGGAGATGTTAGACATTTATCATCCGGACTGTGTCAGGAGTGGGAAGGACCCAGTGGGCCCTGCTGTCACAAAGGGCTCCTGGCTATCCTTGTTGTCTAAGTGGAGTCTCCCTTGGAAAGCTTGAGATGGCGAATGGGTGGGAAGCCTTCTGACACACAACACAGCATTTTTCATGGGCATTACAGCGAAAACCTCCAGAGCCCCAGACGGCTTTTCTCAGCAGCAGCAGCAAAGACATCAGGGTTCTGATCCGTATGAAAGAGTCTTGAAGTGATTATTCACTCATTTATCCTGCTACAGCGTGTACCACAGTGTAGACACCGTGGAACGTTCTTACATTCTCTGTGTGTACGCCGACAAGCCACAGCAGCGATTTGAACAATGTAGAAACAGTCTTGTTCGTCATGAGAAGAATATCAGCAATCGCAGGCTTCTTATTTGGCCTTTTCAGTCTTTAGAGGCAGTTGAAATAAGATATTATTTTCAAAATGAATCTCAGTGGTGGTAGAAACGCCAGTCAGAGTTAAAAGAAAGCATTTCCATGGTACTAACAAAACCCCGCTCGCACATTCTTGCAAACACCAAGGTCAGACTTGAGCACCTGGTGACCAAAGAATGGGAAGAGCAATTGCTTTCT